GTGTGTGTATATATATATAGAAATTTATAAACAAGGTAAATAGGGAATTTTATATGGTTAATATGTTACACATTACATTTCTTAAGCTTTGGAATGATATAAAAAAAAAAAGACATAAATAAGCAGTGATTTTAGTTCAATAGAATTATCTTTGATTTTCTGATTGTGGATGATTGATTGATTGATTGCTCCAGAAGAGAGAAATGCAAATGGTGTATAATATTTAAATATTTTCTCTTCTTAGGTAGTGATCTTTGTTAGGTCAGTTCAAAGGTGTATGGCCCTGGCCCAGTTGTTGGTTGAACAAAACTTTCCTGCTATTGCTATACACAGAGCCATGACCCAGGAAGAGAGGTAATGTTGATTGTAGCTAGCTAGCACTACCTGAATGGTAACATATAGTACCAAATGGTTGAGTTTGGTAAATACAAGTACTTATGGGATGATGGTGTGGGTAAAAACTTTTGTGACTTGCTTGTAGGTTACTGTTTACAACAGCACTTTTCTTGACATACATCTCTTTTACTTGCTTGTAAGTTACTGTTTACTACAGCACTTTTCTTGACATGCATCTCTTTTACTTGCTTGTAGGTTACTGTTTACTACAGCACTTTTCTTGACATGCATCTCTTTTACTTGCTCGTAGGTAACTGTTTACAACAGCACTTTTCTTGACATGCATCCCTTACTTGCTTGTAGGTTACTGTTTACAACAGCACTTTTCTTGACATACATCTCTCTTGCTTGTAGGTTACTGTTTACTACAACACTTTTCTTGACATGCATCTGTTTTACTTGCTTGTAGGTAACTGTTTACTACAGCACTTTTCTTGACTAAAGCAAGGTTTTCCATGTGCTAAAACCACTCTTTTGTATATTTGTTACTGTGCATGATGTTACAGTTCTTGATTCAATAGAATTAATATTGGGTAAGTGTGCAAAGAATATAATATACCAACAACATTAGAGCATATAAACATGTGTTATGTTAACTGTATTATATTAGTTTTTCTGTTCACATGTATCTATACTACTGTGATAAGGAGGGAACTATCTGTAAAATTATAATTTTTGGCAGTGTACTTGTTGACCCATTGTTTACAAAGCTCAGTGGTGTGTAGTTTTTTCATGTGTATTTACAGGAAGTTCTATAAGTTTTGTAAATTTATTACAGATTATCTCGATATCAGCAGTTTAAAGATTTCCACAAAAGAATTTTGGTTGCAACCAATTTGTTTGGCCGTGGGATGGACATAGAACGTGTGAACATTGTTTTTAACTACGATATGCCAGAAAACTCTGATACGTACCTTCACAGAGTAAGTGTTGGCTTTGCTGAGTAAAGGTGCTTTTTTTTTCTTGATAGTGCTTTCCTCCTCATCTTTAAAAATAAAAAAAAATAGAATCTTAGTTAGACTTTTGTGTACTTGATGTAATGAGTCAATGTGTCTATGGTTGTGTGGAATATAGTATTGTTTAATAATTGTCTTAACATAAAATTGAGATTTCATTGAGGTAAATTAAAAAGTGAATGTTTATTTTTTGTTCAAAAGAATTATAAAACATTATTATTTTTGTTATTAAGTTAATATACAAATTTTTCATATTTGCATTTTGATTTCAATGCAATAAAAAGTGTGTTAGACTTAAATTATTATTTTAAATTAATCTCAATAATTTTTCTCTGCATTGTGTCCTAGATGCTTTCAGGTAGAAACCACCTAACACTGGTACTGTGAATCGTGTTAGAAAAGTTGACAAAGGCACTGTATTGCTAGATTTAAAATATTTACAATGAAAGCTCTACGAGTGTTACAACTAGTTGTTAGTATATTATAATGATTCTTTCTTGTGCTGTTTACTTATGGCTTATAACTTATAACTAAAATAGTTTGCAGCTCTGTGTAAGGGGTAGATAATCATAATTACTGAAACTGTATATAGGAATTTTTATCAATTGCATTAAAATAGTAAAGGACAAAAAAATGTGTATTCTGTGTAATTTTGAGCTCTAAATGAAATCCTGATAATCATTACCTTGGCAGTAATTTCCAATAATTCCTTTATATATTTGTATTTGTTTGATAATCATATAAATAGAATGAATCATACCATTAATGCTACTATGTTTTTAAACTAAACCATATTACTATTATTAATTTTTTATATTTACATATATATATATATATATATATTTATGAAACGGTACTAGTTAATTGCTATTTTTAAGTTATTCGTGCTGTGGCAATTGGATATCAATTGTTTCCATGGTTAGTAGCCTATACTATTATTTAAGTCTGATTATTAATTAATTATATTTATTTATTACTACATACTAATTAGTTTATAACCGATGTTTTGACTGTAAATCTACTGCTGTCTTCAGGAAATTCCTGATGAAAGTTTGGAATGTTATCTACTCAAGTGGGGGTCTCTTCCATTTAGAACTTGAATTGGATGTTTCATTACTTTAAAGAGGCTTTTTTAACTTCTCCACCAGGCTGACTGAGTAGGTTATTAGCTAAATAGATCAAGAAAGCTCCTTTTACCTACTTTATCGTGTGTAGTTCATTATTGTAGTATTATTTCTTCATTTTATTTGATGTTATTCTTCTCTATGGAGGATATTTTATGCCAAAGTTAAAGATAAATAAATTATTTAATGAATATTGAAGAAATAAAGGAAAATAAATATATGAATATATTTTGACATTTATTTATTTTACCATTATTTATTCAATGATTTCTTATTATCCTCCAGTGAGAGCTGTATCAATCAAATGTAATTGACAGTATTAATTTTATCTCTTAAAACAAAATATATTATTCAAACAATAAACTTACATAAATCATAATATCATATACACGTGTAACTGTAAGAAAAGTTTCTATGTATGTGTAAATTGAAGTTTTTGAGGTGAGTTCGTCTAGTGAAGAACAGCTTGTTGATTGAGGTGACTGTTGGCACAACCTTTTGTTTTCTGGATTGGCTAATAAAATACAAAAAAGCATTTTGTAATTAGGATCTAAATGTAGTTAAATGTAACATTTTAAACAGAAGACTTCAGTACAACCATGGAATTTTCGAGCTTATAATGAAAATTTATTGAAACTTTATGAAGCTATTTAGTTAGTGAGTTGGAAAGAATGGACTGAAATAATCCAAAGGTTAAATTATGCTGACCGAAGTGGATATTACGTTTATATGACATTAATATTTATATAGGCTAAAGCTAGAATATAGTTGTGTGTGTGTGTGTTTGAACTGAAAGTTGACATTCCTATTCACTGCACTTTAAAATTTATTCATTATTTATTTATTTATTCAAATAATTCATTGAAAAAAAAAAACTTGTATGAAGGTAACTTACAAGTTCACTTCTGTGCTATTTATTTAATCAATGTGGATGACTGTGGTGAAATTGAAAGAAACAGATTCTCGATGTAACCCTACACTACAATATTCATACATACTTCGTAGGACAACATCTTTGGAAAATTTGTAACGCAGAACTAAAGTAATACAATAAATAGAGTACTCTCACGCATTCTTTCCTTCTGTAGCAATCCATGGTGATTGGATTGACATAGCTGTTTCTGGAGTATTGAAATGGGAAAGGTTTAATTAATAAATTACTGTAGCAATACATGCATGTATAAATGTTTTTTCTTTATTTTTGTCAGTATTTATTTATTCATTTATTTTTTATTTTGACAAAGTATTCTCCGTGCATCTCTTGCAGATAAATTGATATTACTAAGTCTCATTCGTCTGTTATGCCTGCTTCTGAATCCTGACTTTTTTGGTAATTTTATTTCTCCAATATATAGGAGTACGCACTCACAAGGTTCCCCCACCTTTTTTTACTTCTCCTCTTTATCGTTACTGACCATTAGATGTTTTGATGTATACTGGCTACATCCATATTGTGATGTCTTTTTTGAATCCTGTTGTTACTTAATGTAGTTTACATATCCTTTTTCTATTTTCAGAGAAATCTCTGACATACAGAAATATGACTGGAGTTGTAATTATATTCCTTCTCATGTTCTCTGTCTCTTTTCTTCTTTATCAATATTTGAAGGATGGTTGAAGTAATCTATTTTTCTTTCTTCTTGGCATCTTCAGTATTACAAGTCTTGGAAACAACAGTCTATAATGCTCATTTTTACAGTGTTTGGGATGGTTTGATTTACTCAAGTATTTACCAGAATGTTTCCTTATTGTGTGTCTTGGGAGTTATCTTTCATTTCCATTGTGAATTGTAAAACTAGATATTGTCCAGTTGGGCATTAAAACATCCTGGACACACATGGCTCTAATACTGATGTATCTGTGTGAAATACCCTATCACTCCAGAGAAGACAAACATAAATTAAAATTGGACAAGAATACTGGGATGTGAACCACACACAAGAAAAATAAAGATAAAAAACTTTTCTACACCCGACCTAATTAAATACACCTTTGTTAAACTTGTCATAGAAGTTGGTAAAGCCTGGATATCCCTCCTCAGAGCATTCAAATAAGTTAGTTGATCGAGCTCCTAATGGAAGAGAGACTATACAATCGCGTTAACATACCAGTTTTCCTATCCTGAAGGCCCAGGATGGAATCTTGACCACTGCCACCACAAACACAGTCCTCCTTGATACATCTAAAAGTAGTAGTACATTGTAGCCAAATCAAGAAACGTAAACTAATGTCTAGTACAAATAATAATAATTAGTAACAAAATAATTAGATTTAGATCATGTAGGCTACTAATGGTGATGGCAACTGTATCAGTAGATTTTATCTTCAGTTCCTAAGTGGTTTTGTTTGGAATTTTTAAGTGAATTTGAGTGACTGACTGGCATGACTTGCCAACGTCAACTAACTTTAAAAGTAATTTAATACTCTTAAATTAAGTAGCTGTCTGTGGTAACCTGGTTCGTTATTTTTAAGGTCGCACGTGCAGGAAGATTTGGTACTAAAGGTTTGGCCATTACCTTTGTTTCTGATGAAGAAGATGCCAAGATATTAAATGACGTACAAGACAGATTTGATGTGAATATATCTGTACTACCAGATGAAATTGACATTTCTTCATACAGTAAGTTGGTTTGTTTTTACTATAGTATCTGGATATGTGTGTGTATCTGTATGTTAAAAATATATGTTTGTGCTTTCTTAACCACTAAAGAACAAGATTGTGTGTTGTATTCTATAATGAAGCA